CTGTGAAACAGAAGGGGCCCAAACAATAGGCCTCAAATCAAAGTTGACTTCTGAGTGAATTCCCCGACCAGCAATCAGCCTCTTATCAGCAGAATGCAGCAACCAGCATCTTATCAACATGAAAATGCAACCCTGAGAACAATCCCTGGGAACTATAAGTAAACAGTAGGAAGTAACTATAAATCCCAAATGTAAAGAAAAACAGAAACTCCTCAAACGTGCCCGGATCCTGGCCAGATCTGGACATGCCTGAGTGAGGCATATCAATCTACCAGATATCTCCTGTGCATTTTGTTTAGACTTGTTTGTTAAACTGTATAAAAGCCAGACCCTCTCACAGCACAGAGACCTCACCTATGAGTGGACACACTGCGTGGGACTTCCCAGTTGCTGGGAAAGGCTCTCCGACCCTTCGCTGTGACGGGGCTCCCCAGCTGGTGCACGGATCGGGGTGATGGTAAAGTCTGAGGGCAACTGGTGATGTATCTTTCTTAATCACTATAGCTAGCTTTATATAGTAATGACTAGGTGCATTACCTTGCTTATTCTTTCTGCTGCTTTAAACTAAAGTAAAATAAGCCTATTTCTTTAGCTTGGTGTCTGTGTCCTTTGTGTTAACCCTGTCAATTGGCAAAACAAGTTTGGCATCATGGACAGGATTAGAACAAAATGTCATTTTTAAAATCTAAACGTAATGAATCAGCTCCATCTGAAATTCCTGGATGGGAAGACCTTCCCTATAGTTCACTGGCTCTTGAGTGGGTGAAGGTCGGAGGACCATGTGAACAGTGGGAAAGTTGGCTAAAAGAAGCTGAACCACTGGATGTATTAAAATGTATCCAAAAATTATCTATCAAAAAAGGAAAAGAAATTGTGTGTTCGGGAAGTCGGGGATGGGTTTTGTTAACAGCATATCGGAAACAGCACCAACAGAAAGAAAAACTGTTGTTAGAGTGCTCCCACATGGAGCAACAGTTGTGTGATTGGCAGAATCAAATTTTAATGTTACAGCGTCAAAACAAGTTGCTTGCCGATAAGTTGGATACTTATCAGACTGTAGCTGAAATAGCTGCAGAAAGAGTTGCACAGTATAAGAAAAGAAGGGGACGAGTAAACCGTAGGAAAGTGCATGCTGTGATTGCAGAAGCAGGGGTACAGTGGGACCCTGACAGATGGGATGGAGATATTTGGGATTCTACGGGTTCTGATGAGGCTGGTTCCTCAGATGAACCTGTGGATGTAAAACCAGTGTGGAGACGGAAAATAGAATTGGATATTAATGGGCAACAAGTAAGGAAGGATGTGATTGAAGATTATACTCAGCATGAAATAAATGATATAATTGAAAGATTTAAGCAGAGACCGGGGGAACCCCTGCTCTCTTGGATGGTGTGTTTGCATGATCAGGGAGCAGCAGGGGTACCCCTACATCCAGGGGACTCTAGGAAGTTTTTAGTTTTGAGTTCTGACTCCTTTGTGCAAGATGCATTCCGAAATAATCCTCAGGATACAAATTTGTTAACCTTGGCCACCCGGGGATGTACTAATAAATACCCCATGGAGGATGATTGGCCAGGTGGGGAACGTCCCTGGTATACTTTGCGAGATTGTATACAGCAGATGAAGGAGGAAGGGATGAAATTGGCAATCTTTATAGGAGACCCTGACGGAATGATGCAAGCTACCTTGTCTGTCACTCATAGAAACCGATTGATTAAAACTGCCCCACCAGCATATAAAAATGTAATAATGACTCTCTTAATTAATGAGACTGGAAATCCCATTGATGAAATAATTGAAAAAATACAGCAGCTAGGTGATCTTGGAGAATGGGGCCCCCGAGGAAGTGCAGGAAACCGAGATACTCGGGACAGCCCTAAAGGAAATGAGAGCAGAGTTTCTTGCAAGGAAATGTTTACAGCTTTATTGAAGGATGGCATATCTCGTGAAAAGATCAATGGTGTTCCAACTAATGAGCTGTGGCGAATATACAAACAAAGAGGGCTGAATAAGCCTAGCAGGAGAGTGCAGAGTTCTGAAACTAAGAAGCCAGGGGTAACTCAGCCTACAGCACCTCCTCCTGAGCCCCAACGGGACTTCCCATCTGCAGATGGTGGGCCCTCCGCGGGCAGATCAGTTGTTCCGGGGGAAAGGGAGGATTGGGAGCCGTATTATGATTTATACCCACGGAAGGAGACTAGGGAAATTGTCCAGCGTAGTAAACAAGAATGAAATTTTGGCCAAGCTCCAGTGCAATGGGCACGGAAGGACCGACGGCCCCATGCAGAGGTCCAAATATTTTGGAAAAAACGGTCCTCACAAACAGTAAAAGCCTTAATTGACACAGGAGTGGAGGCCTCCTTGATATATGGGAATCCAAAGAAATTTAAAGGACAACCTGTAATTATTACAGGTCTGGGAGGGAAACAAATTGAAACTGTACAAACTCAAATTGAAATGAAAATAGGAAACCTCCCAAAATGACTGTATTCAGTCATGATTGTCCCCATTCCTGAATACATAATCGGAATAGACATTTTGAAGGGACTAACTTTGAATCTCCCAGATGGTCAGTACCAGTTTGGGGTGAAAAATCATATCAGTATTAGAACAATTTTTGTAGGAAAAGTGAAAATGCCTCCTGTACAGATTCCTGCTGCTACTAAATTAGTGACTATGAAACAATACAGAATTCCAGGAGGGCATGACGAGATATCACAGACAATTAAAGATTTATTAGATGCAGGAGTATTGAAACCAGTTACCACAGCTTGGAACAATCCAGTATGGCCTGTCAAGAAAAGTGATGGGTCATGGAGAATGACAGTAGATTTTAGGGAATTAAATAAACACACCCCACTGCTTACAGCAGCTTTACCAGATACTATTACTTTAATAGAAAAGGTTCAAAAGAATCCAGGGACTTGGTCTGCTGTAATAGATTTAGCTAACGCCTTTTTCACTATCCCAATTGCAGAGGAGCATTGGGACCAGTTTGCCTTCACCTGGCAGGGACGACAGTGTACCTTTACCAGATTGACACAGGGATGGCTGCATAGTCCAACCATTTGCCATTGGACAGTGGCTGAGCATCTGGATAAGATAAAATTGCCTCCTTATATGCAAATAGTGCATTATATTGATGATATCCTAATTCAGGGAAATGATGAGAAGGAAGTGCGACAAATACTTGAACAGGTGGTAGATCATATGAGACAGAAAGGTTGGGAAATTAATCCTAACAAGATTCAAGAACCATCCCAAACGGTAAAATTTTTAGGAATTCAATGGCATTGTGGGCATCGGGAAATATTACCCAAAGCTCTACAGAAAATTTTGGATTTTGCAGTACCACAAAATAAAAATGAGGCACAGAGATTTATTGGATTGTTTGGCTTTTGGCAGCAGCCTATTCCCCATTTAGGACAGATTCTGACTCCTTTGTATAAAGTAACAAGGAAAAAATATGAGTTTGAATGGGGGAATGAACAGCAAGCTGCTTTTGAGTCAGCAAAGGAAGCTATTCAAAAGGCCCTAGATTTGTGGCTATTGCAGGAGGGAGAAGTGGAGTTAAATGTGTCAGTAAATGGATTACATGCTAATTGGAGCCTATGGCAAAAACAGGGAAAGAAAAAGGTTCCCTTAGGTTTTTGGGGACGAAAGCTGCCAGAGGCAGGAAATAATTATACACCTTTTGAGAGACAACTATTAGCATGTTATTGGGCGTTGGTAGAAACAGAGCAGCTTACGATAGGACATAAAGTGTCCCTTCGTCCTGAAATTCCTATCATGCAATGGGTTAAAAGCTCTCCTAAAACCCATCGAATTGGGCACGCTCAAGAATCGAGTATCATAAAGTGAAAATGGTATATTCAGGATAGGGCCAAGGTAGGGGTTGGTGGAGTAGCTACCCTCCATGCGAGAGTAGCTACTGCCCCCACAGGCGATCAAGAAATGAACCCTGATTTCACAGTCGAACGGGAATCCCCAGTACGATGGGGAAAAGCTTTCGACCAATTGACACCCTCTGAAAAGGAGCATGCTTGGTTCACTGATGGATCAGCTAAGTATATAGGAGGGAAGAGGTTTTGGAAAGCAGTAGCTTACTATCCCCATCTAGAAAAATTTTTAGAAACTACAGGAGAAGGGAAAAGCAGCCAGTATGCTGAATTATATGCAGCTTATATGGCCTTGAAACAAGAAGACCTAGGAGAATGTCATTTATATACTGACTCCTGGTCAGTAGCTAATGGGTTGGCTACTTGGCTGCCAACGTGGGTAGCCAAAGATTGGAAAATATACTCCAAAGAAGTCTGGGGAAAGGAATTGTGGAAGGATATTTGGGAAATAGTACAGAGGACTAAGGTGTCTGTGTTTCATGTTGATGCTCATAGTAATGTGAACACTTTAGAACGACTTTATAACTCTGTTGTAGACAACCGGGCAAAGATTTCCCAAGCTGGATTAGAATTCCCTCGGAAGGATGATCATGAAGGCTTGGCAAAATGGGCACACCAAAAGTGTGGGCACCTTGGAGAGAAAGCCACTTACAGGTGGGCCCAAGACCATGGCATAATAATGTCACTTGATATGATCAAAAGTATAATCGCCCAGTGCCCCATGTGCCAACATACTCACAAACGTCCAGTGCCTAATATTGTGAAAGGACAACTGGGAAGAGGAAAATTGCCCGGACAAATTTGGCAAATGGATTATATCGGACCTTTACCCCAGAACCTAGGGTGTAAATATGTCTGCACTGCTGTAGATACATATTCTGGATATTTGATTGCCCATCCTTGTAAGAAAGCTACTCATCATAGTGCTATCTGTACTATCCACAAGCTGCAGGATTGATTGAACGAATGAATGGGTTGTTGAAAGAGCAGTTGAAGAAGTTAGGAGATGGGAACCTATCCTGATGGAAGACTCATCTCACAGATGCGCTACATATCCTTAACAATAGGCCCATTGGGGAAATGAAAACCCCTTTGATGCGCATGACTACACCCAATTTACAAATAAAACCTCTGACAGTAAGTGAGACCTTGACTTACTGGGAAATTGTTCCGGGTGCGATGGCCCCTTACCGGGCCACTCCAGAGGCTGCAGGACTAGATCTCTATGCATTGGAATTGATCAGAATAAATCAAAAACAGATGAAAGTTATCAATACTGGGATAGGAATTAAAATTCCTCCAGGACACTTTGGTTTGATAACTGCCCGTTCGAGCCTAGCCTTGAAAAGTATTCATGTCATGGGAGGAGTGATTGATGCAGATTATCAAGGAGAAATTAAAGTAATTCTGTTAAACAATGGTGAACAAGATTTGATTATCCATCCCTATGACAGAATAGCACAACTATTGATACTGCCAGTTTTGAAAGCAATTGTGAAAAAAGGGGATCCACCTCAAGTCACCACTTTTCGTGGAGATAAAGGGTTTGGATCAATTATTTCAATAACGGAGCTAAAGTATGGGTCCAGAGTTCAAGCGAACCTCCTGAACCAGCTGAAGGAATAGCCACAGGAAAAGACAATGCTGTTTTAATCATGAAACCTGGACAGGAAAAATGGGAATATGTTCCTGCAACTAAATGTTATCTGTGAGAATAACTAGATGTCTTAAGATTCTATCTTTTAAATCCTGCTAAGATGGATTTGCCTGTGTATTGTCATGGTCCATTTGGGAAAGGCTTTCACACCAGGATGGCCATTGGAAGGTCCACGAGAGACACCGCTTAGGTGGCAATGGAAAAATCCAACCAAGACAAGACAACAGGATGATTTCCGATGCAAAGCCAATTCTGACTGTATCATAGCCAATCTTACTTTCAGTACTCAGTATAACGAAACATGTACATACTGGTGGCCTTCAGGACCAGCATCACGATGGAGAGATCATGGACGTCTTTTTGTAACCTGTCCTACAGATAATTCAAATGTCACTATATCTAGTAAAGTTTCTCTTAAATGTTGTAATGTATCAAGTCTGCCCAGTTCAAAAGATTATTACAAATGTGTTAATCGAACAGATGGTCATGAGGTGAATGCTGCTCATGCAATAACCCTTCCCATGGAAGAAACGGAAACACTAATATGCCATAATAATTCAGTAATGAAAAATCGGTTACACTGGGGAGACTTCTTTACTATGTTAAAATCTAAACCTCATATTTCTGTTGATCATTTGTACCGCATTCCGTCTACTTGTGTTCAGGTAGCTCAACAATATCAGAAACATGTTATTAATTTCAATATTTCTTTCCCCCTGCTACCATCATGTAGATGGAAAAGGGCATGGTATGATACCCTGTTAGGAGGAACTGGGGCAGGAATGGGAGTTTTAAATTCTATTGATATCAAAACCTTAACAAACAAAGTAAAGAATGCTGGTTATGATGTGGCGGAAGGAATTAGGTTGCAGGCTCAGTGGCTTCCAACTACTTTTACCCCACAAATTGGGTCACTGAACTATGATACAGAATTTTTAAAGCTCTTCAATAGGACTCAAATTAATCAGTGGCGTGTTGACCACAACATTAGCCAGATTATGAATTGGACAACATGTACACTGCAGACTTTACATGTCCTTATGCAATGAAACAAAGCTCAGAGTGACTTAATGGCTAATAATGAGCTGTTATGGAGAAACATATTTAAGAAGTGGATTCCTCAAACCCATTGGGTCAAATTATCTCCACAGACAGTGCAGTGCACAGATTTATTCTGTGCTGGTCAAATAGTCCAGTATGATGTTAGCCAACCTGAAGTTATGTGTAAATTTCTAGTATTGCCTGTAATTTTTTGGGAAAATCCACCCTTTGAACCAGAATATTGGCTGCCCCACTTGGAGGGAGATTATATAGACTCTAGGAATCGAACCCATAAATTACATTTGTGTACGTCCACAACAAATGGTTTATTGTGTGGACAAAGCTCGCGGTTATATGAACCATGTTTATTGGAACATTCAGTGAATCTGTGTAAATGGATAAGTTTGCCCAAAAGCTTTGATATGTTTGTAGAAATTAGTGCTAAGCATGTTTGTAGAGTGACAAATTATGAAAATAATATAGAAATGTATAATCTAACTACTCCATTTTGGGATGCCTCAGAAATGTATTCTATCTCATCTGGCACGGACAGATGTATACTTTTTATTCAATGCATGAAGAACAACTAAACATGTACTGGCATCCCCAAAGCTTAGGACTTAATGGAATCAGCTTATCCCTGACTCCACTGAAAACCATCATGGAACAATCAGAACATTTGTGAGAACACCTAGAATGACAAAATAAAACTCTGTCAGACTTTGTGATACAGACTGTAATCACAAAGAATCAACTAATGTCGCTAGCTGGCCAGATGGAGAAGGAGACTGCACACTACTGGTGGGACATCTTTACTGGATATTCATCCTCTGCAACCCAAGTGTTGAATTTCTTAATACATCCTCTTGTAATATTGTTAGTTATCATTATTATGATTATTTTATATAATTGTTATATATGGTATCTTATCAAACGGAGAGAGCAAACATATTGGGCTCTTCCAAAAGGGTCATGATCTTCACTCATAAGTCAAAGGACCGATTGAAACAGAAGGGGCCCAAACAATAGACCTCAAACCAAAGTTGACTTCTGAGTGAATTCCCTGACCAGCAATCAGCCTCTTATCAGCAGAATGCAGCAACCAGCATCTTATCAACATGAAAATGCAACCCTGGGAACAATCCCTGGGAACTATAAGTAAACAGTAGGAAGTAACTATAAATCCCAAATGTAAAGAAAAACAGAAACTCCTCAAACGTGCCCGGATCCTGGCCAGATCTGGACATGCCTGAGTGAGGCATATCAATCTACCAGATATCTCCTGTGCATTTTGTTTAGACTTGTTTGTTAAACTGTATAAAAGCCAGACCCTCTCACAGCACAGACGGAGACCTCACCTATGAGCGGACGCCCTGCGTGGGACTTCCCAGTTGCTGGGAAAGGCTCTCTGACCCTTCGCTGTGACGGGGCTCCCCAGCTGGTGCACGGATCTGGATGGTGGTAAAGTATGAAGGCAGCTGGTGATGTATCTTTCTTAATCACTATAGCTAGCTTTATGTAGTAATGACTAGGTGCATTACCTTGCTTATTCTTTCTGCTGCTTTAAACTAAAGTAAAATAAGCCTATTTCTTTAGCTTGGTGTCTGTGTCCTTTGTGTTAACCCCGTCAATTGGCAGAACACTCTTTAGCTTGCTTAGCTGTTACAATAAGTTTTTGAAATAATTTTTCCTTTCCTTGAAAAGCAACATTTACAGTAAACATGGACACCAATGTTACCTCTTGAATTTTTAATCCTGCTTCAATTTGTAATCAATCTGGATCTCTCCCCAGTTTTTACCGTTCCTGTTAAGTGAAAGATTTTTATCTACAAACCTCAATCACAAGATCACTGCATTGAAATCATCCACGCTGCAAAAGCATTCCACTTTTTGATCTGTTTTGTCCTGATACAAAATTTTTTATTACAACCACACAGTTGGCATTTAATTAACAGGTACCTGCAAAATAATGGCGAAGTCTATATCTTAGCTGATAAATGATCTTCTATTCAGATCAAGGATGACACTGTGATATATTGACACAATGTTACACACTATATGCTCGACAAAATAGGAAAATGAGACGGAGATGTGGACTTTGTACATGGATTCTACATATGTCTTTGTGTTTACGTGCTAAAAAAGAATTCTGTTCCCCACTCTGGTTTATCTATTTTGACTGTAAATTCTTCAGAGCATGGGCTTTCTCTTCCCTGGGAACAATGCGCACTAATCTCATCTGATCTTCTTAAATAATAATTTAGAATAAATAATAAGCATGAACAGGTACACTGATGTAAAGCATAGCTTGATCAGGTACTAATACAGTGACTGTTTTATAAAGCATGTGCTACTTGCTCACTATTTTAAACAGGTACATGACCGACTGGAAGAGTCCAAAGGCACACTTTTTGGCAGAGGAAAGATAGGGTTTTTTATACTTACCAGGGAGGGAGAACCTAGGAAGTTAAGACAGTGCCTATTGCCTTTCCAATCCACACTGAGGAGTGTTACAGGGAAACATGTCTAATGGAGTAACATAGGTATTGTGCCAGTCTCTGCTTTATTTATTACACTTGATGATGATTTGGAAAAGGGAATTTAGAGCTTTTACATCAATAAAACCCCAGCACATGGCTTGCAAAATCAAACAATGACAGGACTTCACAGGTTAAAAAAAATGATGTTACAGTAGAGAGAAAAAAAAAGCAGGAAGAGGGAGAACTAGGGACTTTGAAGACATCTAACTGATTTTAAAATCTTGCTTTTAATTAGGATATGACTTATTGCATTCTATATTCTTCAATTCTCAGAGCAGGGCTGGGGCATATTCTAAAAAACATTACACTTTACAAATACACCATGGACAAAGAAAGCAGGAAAACAGTAATGCCAAATGATACCTAAAAGGTTTTGTGGACAGTAAAATTAATATATTCTTGAAATATGATATAAAGGGAAGAAAATGACATAATGTACATTTGAACAGCCTTTTCCAGAGCATTACTTCTTCTATAATTAAGGGCTATTATCCTTTAAAGTTCTTAAACATATGCTTAACTTCAAAGCCCAGTGTAGCTTTGCCTAAAGTGGCAAGTTTAGATTTAATTTCAGGAATAAGTGTTTAATTTGTTCAAGAACTAAGGAATCTCATGTGATTGAAACTCAATCACACAAAATGAATAAGCAAAATAAACACTTCTTAGTAAAAGTGAGTGTAAGATTAGAACCCAGGACACCACATACTAGACACAATTCATAATTAAGTTGCCTCAATCCTCTTATATTCTTATTCTTTGTAAAATACAGAAAGAGAAAAATGCAACTACAACCAATATTGACATGATACACCATACTGAGCATACCTGTCCTGCAGCTGTTAGATGTCTCATCCCAATTCCTGTTTCAAAGGAAAAATAAAACAAAACAAACAAAAAACCCAATATAGACCAAACAAAACAAAAATCCCAGACACATTTATCCCAATTTTGAAAGCATAAATATAATAATAACATGAGATTCTGGGATTAACTCTGTCACCAAAATAGGGAATGAAAACTCCTTAACACTGAGTTTAGCATTAATGAGCAAGCATTACTTTATTCAGCTGGGGACATGAGGGAATCATTCCACCTAACATGTACACTGTATGCTACAATAGTCAAAGCTTGTATCACTCTGCTATGTACATATTCATCAAATTTCCTAAAACTTATTATTATATTTACATAATTACTGCACATGCGGTTTAAGTCTCGGGGGGGGGGGCTTCCATAGGGATTGTTGGTGGTCTCTAGCGGCCTCTGGTGGTCTTTGGAGAGGAGCCCTTCCTGAACTTCATCTGTACTTTGGAATTAGCCTTTCTTTGGTTTATGTCTGCACTTTCTTACCTCCAGCCTAGTTTCTGTGTCCTGGTTCAGGCTGGAAT